CCCCAAAACCCCAAAACCCCAAAACCCCTTGTATTCTATATTTTACAAGAGTAAAGTAAGATTAAATAAATTAGGCCATCATAGCTAAGATATTCATTAAACATAAGCATTTGATATTCTCTAAAGCTTTAGAATGCATGGGGCAGCATCTGAGTCCAAAGGATAGATACCAATGTCTGCGACATATGGGCCTGGAAGTACTTATGAAGAATCTATCAACTCAATTAGGAGTTTATCATTAGCTCCATCGAAAAACAAATGATGATTTTCCATTTCTTTTGTTGTTTCCATGTCAAAGGATGGAGTGTTGATTGAGATTACATTAAATCCTTTCTCTCTCAAAAACTTTACACTCTCACATGATAAGTAAGGGAAATTTGTGATATTTTTATTGTTTTCATCAAGATTCTCATCATACAAGAATTTAATTATTACCATTTTAAATTTGTCGTTTTAGTTTCTGAGAGACTATGAGTTGATCTATGTTATTGAAATGTTGTAAGCACTCATTAATAAATCCAAGCTCACTTCTAGTTGACCCTCTAAGGGTCTTACTTCAAGAGCAAGGGCAAGTTAGCGACTGTTAAACTTCTTTTATTTCTCAATGATATTTAAACCATCTTAGATTTTTATATGGCATTCAGTTTCAGCGTGAGTCATATGAAGGTGAGCACAGAGTGTCAACTGCTCAACTTGGACTGAATCATATTGATATGGACTAACTTTCTTGGCTAAACCACTATCATAGCAATTAAAACCTAAATTCCTCTCGTTTCCTTCAAAGTATAAATCTCTACTGCACAAAATAGGTGCATGGACTTCAAATATTCCAACATTAGGGAGTAAAATCTATTCTTGAGATGCTCTACTGTCTAGTTAATGAGAGGGTAGCTCATATAAGCCTTAATATTTCTTAAGTATTTCTTCAATTTCTGGATATCTATTCTTAGAGCTAACTTTTTCTTTATAATCTGGTAATTACTTGATCTCTTTAATGATTTAGTCTTCAACTTTTCCAAAAGCATTTGCTAAATGATATTAGGTGTGACTAAATGAAATCATAGAGTACTGTGACGTGTAAATATCATTGTAATGATCTGAGAGGTAACTGATAATGAACTTTTTCATTAAAAACTCAGGGTCTGCCATCTTATCTCTTAGTTCAACAAAGTTTTACTTTGATAGATCACTTATAGCATCAGTATTAATCTTTCTTGAAATTTAATATTTGCTTGTAATTGTAGGCCAGTCTCCATTATGTTCTCTTATTAACTATATCAAAGTAGTGCAATCCTCAAGTCCAGCATTGAGACCTTATCCGTAAAATGGGAAAATAGCATGCGCTGCATCTCCAATTAAGACAAAGTTTTATACTACCCATGGATAGCATTTGATATCACAAAGTCTTCCTCTTGGTCCATTTCTGATAGTGTCAAGCATACCAGGCATTAAGGGGGCAGCATCTGGGAACTGACGATACATGAAATCAACAAAATCTTATTCTTTAGCTAATGATTCGAATGAATCTGGCCCTTTTAATGGAAGGAACAAGTTGCCTGTAAATGATCCATCAGTGTTAGCCATTGCAAGCATGACTGATCTAAATCTAGGCCACAAGTGGAATGAATTAGTATGATAGACAAACCCTCCATCTTAGTTGGCTGGGATCTCAAACTCAAGATAACCATAGTCAGAATATTCTTGAGAGTAGTTGAAATCTTGCATAGTAATGAATCTCTTTCTGATAGCGGAGAAGGCTCCATCAGCTGCAAAAACCATTTAGAAATCTCTAGTAACTGATTGACCTTCAGCAGTGGCAAATGTTAAAGTAGTTCTATATATAATTCAATAAAACTGGCTATTAAGGTTCTTACTTATCAATATCAAATGTCAAAAGATTCTAATTGAAGAGTACAGTAACTCCTGGTTCATCTTTAGCTGCTTGAATAAGAAGATTGTTCAGTAGGTGCCTGCTTATTGAGTAATTGCAGTCATTCTCTCTGCCATAGTTATGATAGTGAGTAGCATTATTATTATGAGATGTTCTACCGTACATGGGAATCGCGTGAGAGAGTACTCTTTCCCTTGCTCCAATCATATCTAGTGCCTTAATAGCTCTCTTAGTAAGAGCTAGATTAACAGATCTTCCAGCTGGTGTTGAACCTAAAGTAGGGTCAATTCTTTTTTCATAGATTTCAACCTAGTAACCCTCTCTGGCCAATAGGATTGATAATGCTGATCCTACAGGGCCGCTTCCAACGATTGCGATTTTATTATCTTTCTACATTAATGATATGGAAATATTTAATTAAATTAAATTCTACCATAATTCAATGTCTTTTAATTGAAATCAATTGTGATGGGGTTTTGGGGTTTTGGGG